CTCTCTTAGGTGGCTCTATAGGTGATAAGTGACTCACCAAGGGCCACAAAGAAAGGAGACCAATAGCATGATACCGTTTTAAAAGATATTTATTTCATATACAGTATGATATAGGTGAGTCCTGGCACTGCTCAATTTTATAAAATTTTTAGTGATTTCACATTTATATTCGGTTTCCCTGGTGATTTAGACACACACCTGTGGTCTTAAAAATGGCGGGCCCGCGCATGTGAGATGCTGGTCTCCGGCAAAATAGTGCGCCGATATGGAGACATATCTCCTCTGGAAAATGGCGCGTTCGTAATGCGCATGCGCCATTTACGTTATTTAATGGATACAGTCAGGAGCAGACGCTAAAGCTTATCCCCTTTGATGATGTGCGGTTAGCACGAAACGCGTCAGGGTAGGAGCTACAGCGTCACTATCTCTCTGCCGCCGGCACCACGGAGGTCCCGGCGGCCATCTTTCTATTCACCTCATGGTCAGTGATTGTTTGTTTTCCTCACCTATATCTTACTGTATATGAAATAAAATCTTTTAAAACGGTATCATGCTATTGGTCTCCTTTCTTTGTGGCCCTTGGTGAGTCACTTATCACCTATAGAGCCACCTAAGAGAGAGACCGTGGATTAATGCAACATCCAGCGGGTGGAGGAATATCTGGCCTGACCTGACCTCTTGAAGCTACTTGTGGATCTAGTGGAGATAATATATCTCTAAATGCACAGTTACACTGTGCATCTGGTGAGTGCACAGCCTTATCCTTTTCACGTTTACTGCATGGAAGCAGCACTTTGAAGAAAAATAACTGTCACAAGGACTGGTTTTGCACCGCATGTCACTTTGCTTGTGATATAACTTTTGTGATCACATTAATCACCTATCCACCATATTGATATTTTGGATTTTATTTATACTATAGCGCCGCATCTTTTATGGATATGGTTTGTAAGGTTCTTTGGTATCCTTTTTTGATGCTGTGGCTGCTTTTTTTGTTTTCATAGCGCTCACGACTTCTTTTATATTTGACTGGGAGTACCTTAGTTGGCATTCCCATGATGAGCTGCCAATTACATCACCATGTCTTCTATCCATCTCAACTGTAACCTAAGAAAAGCATGAATGCGGTCAACACCATGTCAGCCTAGAACTGCTAGACGTATATTTTTTCCTTTCTGGCAGCAATAGTACAAGTACAAGTAATCCCTGGGAGGGACTGTTACTCCCACACCTGTCTGCAATGGAAAAAAATCACCTAGGTATGTAGACATAATAAATAGCCTCGTTCCTTCATACTACTACACAGAAACCCTGTACAGCCCTTCAAAAAACCCAAGCATAAACAAGCCAACAAATTTAATCTAGTAAAGTCAAGAAGAATCAACCTTATGCATAACATATACGCATTCTTTCTTTTCAAAGCGTAAGTGTATGATTGAACTTAAAACAACCAATCAAAAATCTTCTGATACTAATCTGATTGCTTAACATGGGCAGCACAGTGGCTAACTGGTTAGCACTTCCGCCTGGCAGTACTAGGGTTGTTGGTTCTAACCCCATCCATGGCACCACCTGCCTGGAGTTTGCATGTTCTCCCTGTGCCTGCATGGGTTTCCTCCGGGTACTTCGGTTTCCTCCCATGCTCCAGAGACATGCTGGTAGGTGAATTGGATCCTGTCTAAATTGGCCCTAGTATGTGTATGTATGAATGTGAGTTAGGGACCTTAGATTGTACACCCCTTGAGGGTTAGGGACTGATGTGAATGTACAATGTATATGTAAAAGCGCTGCGTATAAGTACCTGAAATAAATAAATAATAAGATGATATCTAATTAGCTGCTATGGATTCGCAAGTTAAAGTCTAAGTTTAGTCAGGAAAAATAAAATCAGCACAAGGGGCATTACGTACTTACAAGAGTGCCGACTATGCCTACCCTTTCTGCCCTGCTCCTCTGTTCATAGAAGCCATACTATAGCTTCCATCAATGAGAAATAATCTATGAATGGAGGACAGGCATGTGAATGAAAGATCTACCTCCTCCTGTCATAGATCGTGTTTCATTCATAAAAGTTATAGTACAGCTTCTATGAATGGAGGAACTGGGTGGAAAGGGCGGCATAGTTGCCACTCTTTGAGTGCTTATGACAGGTTGCTCGGTTCTTTTAACCCCCACCTCACTGGAAGATTACGGCAGTGGTGGTGGGGGGGGAAAGTTGTAGGAGATAGATTTCAATCAATGCATGCGCCAGCAGCACAAAGAACGCATTGGGGTTGATTTACTAAAACTAGAGAGTGCACAATCTGGTGCAGCTGTGCATGGTAGCCAATCAGCTTCTAACTTCAGCTTGTTCAATTAAGCTTTGACAATAAAACCTGGAAGCTGATTGGTTACTATGTACAGCTGCATCAGATTTTGCACTCTAGTTTTAGCAAATCAACCCCACTATATTGATAGCAAGTAATGTCCCTTATGCTGTTTTTTTTAAAATAACTTTTTACTTAACTTAGGCTTTAAATAAATAATTGTGAAAATGGGTTATGAAAATGTCTATGCCTTGCTATTCGAACAAATGTCAATGAATTTCATTTACCATGTTTAATATGTTAGCTTTTGCTTAATGTTTCTACCATTTACCAGAAGGTGAAAAGAAAGAACAGCCATGCCTTAACATGTATATCAAACCCCTAAAATGATAATAATGGCAATTATTCTGATATTGTGGAATTTGTCTGACTAGAGAAAATAAGCAAATGCCGTAATGTATAACAGTCAATTTTCTAATCCTCTGAAATAACCCAACTTATGAATTTCTAGTGTATATTCCTGAAATGAGCCTGTGTGTGAGTGGGGTCCTTTTTGCAGACAGGAAAAATAGAAGCTATTTAGATAGTCCTCGAGCTTTGCTATTTCAGTGAGAAATGAAAACATTGGAAAGCTCCCTTCAGTTACTGTTGATTTTCTGCTAGATTCCCCAGGAGGACTTTCATCAAACGAGCTGGCAGAGGAATCCCACCATAAATACCATTAAGGAATAATTATCACAAGGCAATATCAGCCAGCTGTTAAACACAACATATCTCATTGCTGTCTTCTGCTCCTGTAAGCTGTGGAAGTGCAGCGCTGTGTTCTTTGGAGGGTGGTTTTCACATGTTTTTTCACAAATCTCTGAACCATTTTTTTTTGTGGCATGAAACTTTGCCAATGACCTAGAAGTTTAGTCAAACGAACTCTGTCAGGGACATTTAACAACAAATTACAACTCAAACATGTTGAAAATAGAACTTAATGAAGTAGACATTCTTTTATACTGGGAAGTGTGTTCTGCAAAGGGTATTGGGTTTTTGGGAGGACTTTTTCCAGTTGTCTTTTTTGAAACATTATCATTATTTGTTGCTTGCCGATAAGTAGTGATGGACCGAACATCCCCATGTCTGGTTCGCAATCGAACATTCAAATCTACCAAAAGGTTGATCGCAAACTTCAAACAGGGACAATTTACTGAGCGGTATCTTACCGCATCTGAGTATATGGTAAGTTACCACTCGGCTACTAAAATACTGCATGAGTTATATTATTAAGTCATGCAGTATTTTAGTAGTGAAAACATTCTTTATTGTTTCAGCTGTCAGTGGGGTTCCCCACTGACAGCTGAATGTCAATAGAATTAAATTTTTTTCTTTAAAAATGGCGTGGGGTCCCCCGTCCCATCCATACCAAGCCCTTTTAGGTCTGGTATGGATTTTGAGGGGAACCTCCATGCCAAAATTTAAAAAAAAATGTTGTGGGGGTGCCCCCCAAAGCCCATACCAGACCCTTATCCGAGCATGCAGCCTGGCAGGCCAGGAAAGGGGGGGGGGGAGAGCGAGCGCTGCCCCTGAACCATACCAGGCCACATGCCTTCAACATGGGGGGGCTGCTTTGGGGCAGGGGGGCTCTTCCCCACAGCCCTGGCCAGTGGTTGTGGGGGTCTGCAGATGGGGGGGCTTATCCCCCCAGATCCCGGCCCCCCAATTGGAATGAGTATGCGGTACATGGTACTGCTACAAGATACAAAATAAAAAGTAGTATAAAAATGACAGGAGACCGTCTTTGATGAGTCCTTTAATAAAAACAAAAATAAAAAAAATGATGCCTGCCGCCACTGTCGCCTTGAAAAAAGAAAGAAAACAAAACGCTCTGCTCTCGACGCTGGCTCCCGCCAGCTGACAGCTGTGTCATGATGACAGTTCTTAAATACTGTGATGACATCACCCCATCCCCTTCATCATAGGCTGTGATTGGCCAAAGCATTGTACCTGACCTGTGGTCAGGTGGTGCATTGCTTTGGTCAATCACAATGCACTGTCTGGGTGCAATGCATTGCGGGGTGCAGCAGGCGAATAGCCCACCGAATGCCTTTACCGTTCGTGGGTTCAGCAAACACACGAATGGCCAGTGATCGAGTCGAACTTACGTTCATCTCGAACATAAAGCCCATCACTACCGATAAGCAATTGTATATATTCTTTTTATCAATGTTATTTTATTTTTTTAATAGTTATTGAATGGGCAGCAAAATGGCTATGTGATTAGCACTTCACCTGGCAGCACTGGGGTCATCAGTTTGAATCTCAACCACGGCACTACCTGCCTGGAGTTTGCATGCTCTCCCTGTGCCTGCGTGGGTTTCCTTCGGGTACTCCAGTTTCCTTCCACACGCCAAAGACATTCTGGTAGGTTAATTAGTTTCTGTCTAAACTGGCCCTAGTAAATGAGTTAGGGACCTTAGACTGTACGCTCCTTGAGGGCAGGGACTGATGTGAATGAACAATATATATGTAAAGCTCTGTGTAGATTGTTGGCGCTATACCTGTAATAAATAAATAAATATAGTGGTATATTGAGTGTTTTGTGAATGTTAAAGACTTTCAGAACACTTTAACGTTGTTTAAGCTGAGTTCCACTCACCTGTCAAAAAATAAAAGCAGCTACAAAAACTGTAGCTGCTGACTTTTAAAAAATCAGTCACTTACCTGTCCCTCGGTCCCGTGGTGTGTCCCCCACAGTTCGTTTCACCAGCCGTCCTGTATTCCAGGAGGCCAGCATCTTCAGTGTGGTACCCGAATTTGACAGGTACCCACTCCCACTTCCGGTCCGATTGCCCAGGCAATCGGAAGCGGAAGGTGTCCTCCCTCCCTCCCTGTAGTCTTTTAGGACATGTGACAGGTCCCAGAAGACTACAGGACCATTCACGAAGCGCAGTGCTACTCGCGTATGCGCAGTGGGTACCCAGCTGTGAAGCCGTAAGCTATCACAGCCAGACCGGAAGTGGGAGCGGGTACCTGTCAAATTCGGTTACCTGCTCCCCCCCACTCCCCAAAGGTGCCAATCCTTAATGGGGAGCGGGGGAGCAGTCCTTAAAGCGGAACTTCCCCTTTTGGGTGGCGCTCCACTTTAAAGCGCATCTATGATCAAAATGTAAAAGCATATATGAATTTTCACATTGTATTTCTATTATTTCAACCCCACTTGCATTATTCTGATAGATTTGTAAATTTACTGTGACGATCCCCATACATTTACTTCCTTGAATTCTGTGACACGTATTCACCATACCCTGTGAGTAAGCACTGCTGTATCACACATTTCACTGAACTACAGAGGTGCTGAGCAGAGGAGTTTCAGGAGGCGGAGTCAGTACAGGTTTGAAGGCAGCAAAGTGCCATGGGATATGTAGTCCTTGGAAATTGAAAGTCAACAGCAGAGGTGAAGCTGCAAAGTTGTGGAAATAGATGGACAGCAGACAGACAGCACTCATAGCATGACAGGAGATTTTCTAGTATTTTTTAATGGATTACCATATATATAACTATTGCTTTTATTTTTATTACAATGCTGATGTTATAAAATAAGTGTATGCTGTGAACTCCTTTAGGGGTGTATTTATAAGAAAAGTTGTATAACAACTAGCCCAGTGAAAGTGCATGTAAATTGTGTTCTGTACGAATGGGGCAAAAAGGGAATGCTATTGGGCTATTTCCTGAGCTGGTTGAATGTTTTTTCATAAATGTTAAATGAACAATACTGCATTTGAACAATAGATGGTGGTAAGTATCATTGGAAATTTTGTAATAAATACTGTGAGACATCTTATGTTGTAGATACAAGCATGTTGGGTGCAGATTTGGTGCAACTCCTTACCTATCTATAGGCACAGTTCACAAAGTTTTAACACCATGACTGTGATTTTAAAATCCCAGTAAACTGTAATTTTAAAAAATGTTTTTCCTTAAGTTTTACATTTTATGAATTGTGCATTGTGGCTTGTTTTTAGAGAAAACAAATTAAACCCCCCCCCCCCCCCCCCCCCCCTTCAGTGAATTGTAGGCTATCCACAATGCCCAGTAAATTTAAACTAACTTGCACCATATCTTCTCAAACCAGGTAAAGCAGTTAAGTTTTTAGATTTATTTCAGATACAGGAAAACATACCCACTGTTTTCCATGCAGACATAATGGCAATTTGGATTGAATTTAATTGCATTGATTGGCCCAATCACTTATCAAGTTTAAATGACACTGGATTCCCTTTAAACTTCACAAAGGAGTTAGACAAAAAATGCATACAAACATATTAACCACTAAACAAAACATTCACATGGTTTATGTTACACTAATCTTCTTGGACACTAGATCTCCATCCTAACCCCACATCAAAAGGGACGTGTTTGCTACGGTTAAGAATTTGATACTAACAAGCAGATTGTACAGTAGGCTTTTGTTTCCATCTTTTCTATTTTTTTATTTTTTGCAATGGCAATGAATTCCTGATGTGCTCTTGTGTTTTTCTAGAAGACGCTGTTTTACAATTAACTATTTGGCAGATAGCTGTCATTCTTTGCCCAAGTTACTGCTTCTTGGAAATTACAATTCTTTCTCAGAAGTGCACCTAATAGAATGTTTTATCTGAATGTCAATGTGGTTAAAATCGTAAGCCACTTGTATACAAAGTAATACCGCATATATATGTTATAATCCACCAAAAATAAATACTAATCTTAATTATAGTGTTCAAATCCATTTGATTAGATGTCCGTAATATTGGCTATGAAGCTAGCTATCATAGCATTAAAATGTTTTCTGATCAATTTCCAATATGGAAGAACATTCCTACTGTTTTTTTGAGTTTGTGTGATCGGAGACACCAATATAGAAATACTTTATTGTGATATATGAAGTTTATTTCCTTTATAGGCATTTGGGCAGCATTGTACCTAAGTAATTAGCACTCTTGTAGCACTGTTATACCCACATTTAATTCCCAATAAGGACACATATCTGAATGGTGTTTGTATGTTCTTTCCATATTTGTATGTTTTTTTTGGGTGCTCCAGCTGAATCCATCAACCCCAAAATGTCCTGTTAACAATCTCAGAAAATGTGCCATTGCATTGTGGCTGAAACATTAGATTATAAACTGTTGTGGGAACAGGTATGGATGTGAATCTCTGTATTAAAACGTGTTAAATGTTTTAAAAAAAACTGTTTCTATGTCTAATTTGTAATTAATATAGATGTAGCCGCCTCCTACCATAGGATGCTAAACAAATTTAGTTTTTGCTGCCTCCTGTATTCAAGGGAGCTGTGATTGTTTGACCTGGTCTGTTCATGGTTTCACATGCTGGGAGTTTGCTTCCCCCTGCCTCTAGAAGAAGATTCCAGAACTTAGGGAGGGGGATGCAAACAGCCAGCCTGAATATTTGTTTTGCTCCAGCCAATCCTTGAGAAGGAGTGCCCAGAAGGGGGCTGGAAAGCTGATAAATAGTCTGTAGCACTGGAGAGCTGGGTTCCTTCTCCTCAGAAGAGTTTGAGAGCCTGAGGGGCTGTGGCCCTGAGGCAGCCCATGGACTGTGCAGCTGTTCTAGAGGCCTCGGCAGTGACAGGGCTGAGGGCCTGGATAGACCTTCCTAGAAGCTGATTGCAGGACCTCACCACAAGGGATCTGGTCTGGAGAAGGACTGTCTCACTTACTGGACCATGTACAGAGGAAGCTGAAAGGTGGCAGCTGTCCTGAGAACTTGTGAGTAAAGACTCTAAATTGATCCCTGTGATTGTGCAGTGTTCAGGAAATCGCATTGAATACTAGTAGTTGTGCATAGGCGTAAGGTAACCAGATGCCAAAGAATCCTGCCTCGTGGTCTTTAACTGTGAGATCTTAGACTGCTCAGAAAGTTGCCTTATGGTCTTCAGCTGTGGAGGTTTAGACTGCCCAATGTGCTCTGAAGGAACAGCATACCATCCCTTCAAGCTTGGTGCTGTGGCCATGACTCCCGTGCGCATGTGTGGGAGTGACATCATCACAGGTCGGCCATTCAAATGGCCAGAGACTGAGAACCCAGGAAAACCAGTTGAAGATGGAAGGTAAGTCTATCATAATGTGCTAGTATGCAACGCATACTAGTACATTATGCTGGTAACTTGTATATGTAAACCCTCACCTTGTAAAACAACCGATTCACTTTAAAATAGAAATGAAAGGCAAAACATTTGTGCATATACAGTAGTGCTCAAACGTTTGCATACCATTAGAAAATTATATACAGTATGTACCATTTTTATAGAAAACATGAGTGAGCAAGCAAAACACATTTCTTTTATTTCTTATGGGTTCATATTCAACTATAGGTCATACCAGAATGGCACAATCATAAAACAAAACGTGGCAACACGTAAACAAATTAAATGTCCCCTGTTCAAAAGTCTGCATACCCTTAATACTTCTTAATACTGTGTATTGCCCCCTTTAGCATCAATGACAGAGTGCAGTCTTTTGTAATAGTTGTCTGAGGCCACAAATTTTTGCAGGTGGTATAGCTGCCCATTCATCTTGGCCAAATGTCTCCAGGTCATACAAAGTCTTTGGTCATCTTGGTTGAACCGCACGTTTGAGATCTCCCCAGAGTGGCTTGATGATATTAAGGTCAGGAGAGTGTGATGGCAACTCCAGAACCCTCACCTTTTTTCTGCTATAACCACTGGATGGTAAACTTGGCCTTGTGCTTAGGGTCATTGTGCTGGAAAGACGAAGAGTGTTCCATGAGCAGCTTTCGTACAGAAGAATGCAAACTATCTGCCAGTATTTTCTGATTGCATGCTGCATTCATCTTGCCATCAATTTTCACAAGATTCCCTCTGCCGTTAGAGCTCACACCCCCCCAAAACATCAGTGAGACACAACCATGCTTCACAGTGGGGATGATATTCTTGTCATTATAGGCCTTTTTGACCCCTCTCCAAACAAAGCACTTATGGTTGTGACCATAAAGCTCTATTTATGTCTCATCACTCGACATTACAGTGTGCCAGAAGCTGTGAGGCATGTCAAGGTATTGTCGGGCATATTATAACCAGGCTTTTTTATGGTGTTGGCACCGTAAAGACTTCTTTCTGGCAACTCGATCATGCAGCTCAGTTTTGTTCAATTACCGTATTGTTTTCCTTGAAACAACCACATCATCTTTTTCCAGAGCAGACTATATTTCTACTGAGGTTACCTGTGAATTTTTCTTTGTATCTCGAACAGTTCTTCTGGCAGTTGTGACTGCAATCTTTCTAGGTCTACCTGCCCTTGGCTTGGTGTCAAGAGATCTTTAAATTTTCCACTTCTTAAAAAGTGATTGACCAATACTGACTGCCATATTCAAGGCTTTCGATAGATAGATAGATAGATAGATAGATAGATAGATAGATGAGATATATATATATATATATATATCCCCCTTTTCATCTTTATGAAGTTCCATTACCTTGTTACACCGGTCTCTTGACAGTTCTTTTTTACACCCCACGGCTCAGTAGGTAGCTTGCTCAGTGCATTCACGTGAGCGCTAACAAACTAATTGACTATTTATACACAGCCACATATGTGGGAAATTAACCTTTAATTTTAACCCGTGTGTGTCACCTTGTGTGTCTGTATCAAGGCCAAACATTCCAGGGTATGTGAACTTTTGATCAGGGCCATTTGGGTGATTTCTGTTGTTATGATTTTAAAAGGAGCCAAACAATTATTTGATAAGTATGCAAACCTTTGAGCAGAGCTGTATATAAAAAACATTGTGAATACCTTTTTTTTACTTTTTTTAATAAGTGATCACTTAGCCACTGTTATCAGCTGCATAAAGCTGGGGGATGAGAAACAGCAGTACACTGATCTTCCCAGTAAATGGCTGTGCAAGAGGGAAGGGGGCATGTCAGCACAAGCCTGATCATTGGATTAGCTCCCAGCACAGCTAGAAAACTGACCACGCTGTGCTCTCATGCTTAGCACAGTCAGTTTTTAATGGGAAAGCTGAGTGAAAAGACATTCTCTAGATTGTGTTATTGAAGCCGGTGTGCGTGGACGGGTGCTTGTCAGGATGGGCAGCCTCTGTACGTGTTCTGTAAATCATCAATGTG